TAATCCTAATCGATTGCAATAATTTTGATTGAGTTGAGATTAGAAAAGAAAAATATTGTGTGATTAATACCTCAACAGTAAAAGCTATCTCGTAATATGGCGTCATAGTTATCGGCACTACATTTACCCACATGTTGAACGGAAGCACCCTATCCGATTCGTTCTTCCCAATATTTGCTAGAACGGACAATGTAACAATGATAAAAGTAACTTTGATCTTAAGAATAACGTTACGGATCAACCAAACACACACGTCCATGAAAGGAATTTTCATCCATCACGTGACTGACCTACTCGCGATTGAAATGTTCATATTTATTCGTTTGTTCTCGTCTCATTCAGTCGACTCACCTATCACTGGGCTCACCGCGTAGCAAATCCCTGTCAAATGCACGAATAAAGTGATCAGTCCGACGAAGATCGCGCAGAGCCTTTTGCATCGGTGCATTATCGTTTTCTCGTATTCGTCGTATTCCGCGTTTAAAAAGTGCCGCTGCAGATGGACCACTAATCTAAAGAAATTCTCCCTATGCGGAAGCAGCACGAATATTTTGAACAGAACTCCGATCACCGTTAGAATGTTGACGAGCAGAAACAGATAACCCTGTTGGTATTCAAGAAAATATAACATCGCGCACAGTTCGACTTGCACTTTTGGAACACCCGTTTTGTGTGTTCACTTCGTTGAATCAGTTTCAAAATGCGTTACAATTTAAACGTCTACACCAAAAATATTCGCTTTTCATTCATATTTTTGACTTTTGTAAAAACAACCCCTTAACGCTAGGTTTTTACAGAACGCGTCACTTTGAAAAGTCACGAAAAGTTCTTGATTTACCGATTTATTGATTGGAACTTTGAAAATAGATTTACGGGAAAATTATCCCAATAAATTGTGTTTTCATTGGACATATATTATAAGAAAAATCGCGGAGAATCTGATGAAATTGTATGTGCTTGTTATTTTTACGAAACAACACGAATCAGCTGCTCTTAGTGCTCCGTGTGAACCTGGTGTTAATATTTTTCGGTAATTTCTGGGACATTTGTTGAATTGTACAGATCGGCGAAGATGAGCTTTCGAAACACTTACGATAAAATCATCTTCGGTGTAATAGAAATCGGTTACTTGCACGTAGACAGAGAATAGTATCAGCGCGACGGTGTAAAACAAAGTGATGTTTCTGCGACGTTTTTCGGCTTGGTCGACGTACATCCAAAAACCGGCGACCTTCATGAAAAACGACGCCACAGAGATTGCAAAATCATCGGTTTGAACCTCGATCATTTTTAGTTTCGAACAGTCGACATTGATATTACATGCCACCCACAGCCTTCAATATTCCGATGTGCTTGCTTCAATTGCCATCTTCTTACCGCTTTGCATTACCGATCTTCTATGCTCATCAAATATGTACTCATTATTCATTCTTATTGCTACGTGCACATAGTCATTCGCCAGGAACATAAGAAAGCGTATTACCATACGTCCACGCATACGCGTCGTAATCGCCGTTTCTCAATCGCGTGGAATAGTCGACAAGCTCTGTGATCTCGGCCCCCCCGTAAATAGAAAGACGAATGCAAAATGGAGAACGAAAAACGCGGCCGAGGAGACTATCTTGCAAAATGGATGGAATGTTGCGAGATATGTGTAGCATATCGCGACGGTACGCAGTGATGTTTTAGCGATCCATTATGAAATCCGTGGCTATAAAAATCAAATAGAATATATCCCTATTTATAATCTCAGTGTTAAGCAGTCTACAAAATCACTGTTTCATAACGTAACTGGTGTCTTAAAGTGCCATAGTGTGGTGAAACATTTTTATCAAGGATTATACATGTGATCGATGAGCAGCACTTTTGTACGTAAAATATTGGGTTGGCAACTAAGTAATTGCCGATTTGTTCAATGAAATAAAAATTTTTTTTACTTGGAACAACTATCAAAATCTGTAATAGCTTTTTTTTTAAACTGCAAACTTATTGAACATTGTTCGAAATGTTTTGTATTGATAGAAAAATTAATAGCAACAGTATCAACGTAACATTTTCATTGAAAACCATATCTTACTCTACATAAACATTGTACACGTATGCGAGTTACATAGGATTTTAATTTGCATCATTCAAATTGTCATCAGAAAATATATTCATATATTTTACTAGATCATTAGCATTAATACTGTCTTAGGAGTGTGAAGTACGACGCGGCTGTACTCAGCACCTATAACAGATGTAGTGAACAAATAATTTTTTCTTTCGTAAAAGATTCGATTTGCTTGTGTCATTGCAGAGATACATTTTTTTATCGAATTCGATCCGTCCAACATAAATGTCGTTGGAACAAAATTTCGTCATTTGTGTTACACAGAACGTTGCCAGGAAGTAGCGGAAGAGGGATGGCCTATCCGTCGCATTACCCCCGGAATCGTCACCAAACTTCTTATACCTCTACCTCGCACCTCACTTATTACCAGAAATTGTCAGAAAGCAGAACACTGAAGTGGTAAGAAACTGATTGTATACTTCGTTCAATGGGAACTGGCACAAGATATAAACAGCTGCACGCGAGCGTAATGTGGTCGAATCACAATTTTCGGGCCTTTCTACACGAGACTATTTCGCATGCAAGGGCATGCAAAATAAAGAACATGAAGGAATATGTTCGTTTAAGAATTATGAAGAATTTCACTAATAATAAACTCACCCATTTAGTTGAGGATGCATGGATGATGTCACGGTTAAACTACTTACTACTTCGGCTCCGAAAAATTACTAAATATTCTTCGGACATTCTACAATAGGGAGGAACAGCATTTTTCTGAAAAATATCACTGTCGCGTGGAAAGAAAAATTCGGAAAGTTCACGCTCCGTGACTTGTTCATTGCTTCGAACGCGGCCGCAATCCGCACGCCGCTCGCTCGCTCGGCCGCCTTGCAGTTCGCGCGCTCGCCTCTCATTGGTCACTGTTTTCCGTTAATAACTCGTGAACAAAGCCACGGATTACATTTGCGTGAAGGAAAAAGTTACTTCAAATGACGTTTTTTCCTCGTTTCTCGATTACGAGTGACTTTTAGAACACTTTGTATATTACTCCAACTTCGGTTTGTCGGCGATTTGCGGGACACGGGGCAAAAAGAGTACCCATCGTCCGCTCCTTTCTGACAACACTGATAACACTTCAGTACCTTAGTATACGTTTCCAGGGACACCATAAAAAATCCACCGGCGGTCAAGCAACAAGGCATCCTTGATCTGAGCATGACCAATTGCAAATCGGTCCGCAACATTTTCCCACCGGTGTTCAACGGTAAAATAGTCCACTGTGTATCATAAACAGATTCAGCGATTTCCATGCTCTCTCTCAACACGCAATCGCAGCTGTAGGTGAACATCAACAGCTGCGAGATGCAACCGATTAGGTGAAACGTGAAAACCATGCGTCGGTAGAACGACGCTTCCTCCTACGGGAGAATTGCGACTATTTCAAACACTGAAAAAGTTGTTCGAAGATACGGTTAGAAAACAGTGTAATCAGTGTACTGCGGATTTGATGCATTTATTAGGAAAATGGGTACCTGATATTTCAAACGTTATATGTATTATGAATTCATTCAATTCATTGTGATTGTTAAAGAAAGAGTTTTCTATTCGACTTGTGTTTATTGCAATCGAAGAAGATTATTTTTATTTTGTACAGAGATCTATAATTTATTAAATAGAAGAGTAGACTTTTGGAGCGGATTTTATGCGTTTAAGGTGAAATTGATTAGTTGCAATTTGAAATAGTAGAAAGAAATGTCAATGTATTATTTCCGAGTTACTAAAAATGATAAAAGAAAAAGTGACCTTGATATTTAGTTTCTATTTGTAGCAATTGACGCAGTCAATTTATATTTTGCACGAAGATCCGCAGTCTAGTAACATTGTTAAACAAATTTGTGCTTTCTTTCTGATCTATAGTAACCATAGAGCAATAATTCTTTTAATAATATCGTGCCCGAATATTAATGCGAGTCACTGTACATACCTTCTTTGCCTTTAATATTTCATATGTAGTTAAGAATCGTTTTTTAATGCTTTTTTTTATAAATAAGATAATTTACTTGGTAAATCAATAAAAGATAAGAACAAATAAATATGGTCTAAAGCATGTCGTGTTGGGTCTTATATATTAAAAATAATATAATATAATATAATAATATATAAAATATAATATATAATATAATATATAATATATATAGTATATAAAAATAATATAATATATATAGTATATAAAAATAATATAATATAATCTTATATATTAATAATAATATATTAAAAAATTGTTCATGTATAAAAAATTAGAAATAAAAATGTTAAGACCAGTCCACTTTTTATCTAAAATGGAGTTATCTTACAAAAATTCATGTTTTTCGAAAACTGAGGTGATAGAGCAATTTCTGTTTTTGTCTTTTGTATGATAAACTACAAGAATCGCTCACTGGTTAATACAGATCGATATTCTTGTTGCGACAACGTCGAAAATTTCAATTTTTCATTAGCCCCACAGTTTAATTACATTGCTTTAGGTATACTAACCAGTAACATCAGGTATCCGTCGAGACATATCAGTATGCTGAAAAGCAATACTTGTCCAAGCACGATTAACGTGAACACCTCTTCCACTTTCTCGCAATAAGCGATTAGCGACTGATGTTGTTTAATGCAGTCTTTAAAGATCACATAACAATCGTCTGCGTAATAGCCTGGTACTAGTCTCGATATTGTTGTCTCGCTATGTTTCTCCATCTTATGCCCTTCGCGTATGCTCGTGATCCTGTACTGTAATATACGGAACTGTGTAGCCGCGTGAAAATTTGCGATGCACATGAAATTGTCCACGCAAAGGTAGCCAATACCGTACGCAACCAAAACGAAAATCTGTCAACACGAGAAAGCATAGGAAATTCAATTTCTTCCGCGATACATAATTTTCATTAACTAGTATTCAATGGTATATACGTTAATTTTTATGATGCATCGTGCTAATTGTCGCGGAATTTCTCGATCAAATATCGCCTACGAATCAATATCTACGCATCGTGTAATAAATTATAATGACTGAACATATGTAATTTTTCCAATACTAATTTGTTTGTTGTACCTGCGATAAAAATGTTATCTCATAAATGTACGGCTTCATAACAACGTCGGAATGTAAATTGAATGGAAGCGATCGTGCCGTCGCATTGTTTCCAAAATATGCTAGAAATCCATAAAACTCTTGATATTATTTGCAAAATTTAACATCACGTATAGACTGCAAAGTGCTATAGAACAAAAACATAAAAGATCGAGCCGTCGCATTGTTTCCAAAATATGCTAGAAATCCGTAAAACTCTTGATATTATTTGCAAAATTTAACATCATGCTATAGAACAAAAACATAGAACAATCTAAATATTGCCTGTTGTCGCGTTAAAAATAGCAAAACTTGGATAGTTGGGCAAAATTCGACTTCAGAATCGGGCATGCAGTGTAAGAAATGTTCATGCAGATTGCATAAAAAAGTATTACATCAATTCGATTTGAAAATGCCGACTATGATCAGAGAGAGATTTATGAATTTTATTATAAAATTTGTAATACTTTCAATAAATTTTTAATACTTTATAAATTGAACTGAATAAATCGGTTACGAGTAAAAATAAAAATGATGCAACGGAATGCATATATTTACTTCGACTATTCGTCTTCGTTTATTTGATCGTAATTAAATGGACTTTTGAGTCTTTATTTGATCGTAATTAAATGCAACCAACGACATTTCATATTAGGGGTATCAGGTATCTTACAACTATTGAAGTTCTCCTGTAACAAAATCCTAATTGTCACTATTTTCATCATCAACAATAATTATATAAATATATATTATTATATATTATTTATATATTATTTAATATATATTATATAAATATAATAAGTGAAAGCCATTGGGATATTGCGCACAGAAAATATTAAAACTTTCAGTCGGTCGCCTTACCAACGAGGGGCTCGATCGTATAGCTGAAAGCCGTTCCTTGAGCAAAGAAATTAAAGAAACAGATGAACAATACGCACATTCCTCTGCACTCGTCTAAATATATTTTCTCACGGGAATCGTAATTCGTGTGCCAGAAATTGCTCTCCGAATACGCAAGCAACTCGTAAAACTTTGATTTCTTCATGTATAGCGTAGTTATTTTACACAAGACTAGGCACACCGTCACGATATTGCACAGCGCGAAAATGGTGTCCTAGAATCGCAAAATCACGAAATTCTTACACCTTAGATATACAGGGTGTTCCAAAGGTCGCTCACATCGGGAAATAAGGGATTTCTCGGGTCATTTGTAGTAACTTTTTCCTTAGCACAAATGCAATCAATTAATAATGCTGTGATTTAACCAAATTACAGCAATGTCTAAGTAATTAATATACATATATATTCTATTAACCAAATTACAGCAATGTCTAAGTAATTAATATACATATATATTCTATTAACCAAATTACAGCAATGTCTAAGCAATTAATATATATTAATTATCTATTAACCAAATTACAGCAATGTCTAAGTAATTAATATACATATATATTCTATTAACCAAATTACAGCAATGTCTAAGCAATTAATATATATNTAAATATATTTTCTCACGGGAATCGTAATTCGTGTGCCAGAAATTGCTCTCCGAATACGCAAGCAACTCGTAAAACTTTGATTTCTTCATGTATAGCGTAGTTATTTTACACAAGACTAGGCACACCGTCACGATATTGCACAGCGCGAAAATGGTGTCCTAGAATCGCAAAATCACGAAATTCTTACACCTTAGATATACAGGGTGTTCCAAAGGTCGCTCACATCGGGAAATAAGGGATTTCTCGGGTCATTTGTAGTAACTTTTTCCTTAGCACAAATGCAATCAATTAATAATGCTGTGATTTAACCAAATTACAGCAATGTCTAAGTAATTAATATACATATATATTCTATTAACCAAATTACAGCAATGTCTAAGTAATTAATATACATATATATTCTATTAACCAAATTACAGCAATGTCTAAGCAATTAATATATATTAATTACTCAGATGGTACACTTCTCACCAGACTGTGGATCTTTATGCAAAATAAAATTTCCCCACCTCGATTGCAATCAACAGGAGCTAAATAAAAATTTTATTCCAATCTTGTCGTTTTTAATAAGTCGGAAACAATTGACAACAACTTTGTTACCCTCTTGCCGTATGGTATCCTTCACAGTTACAATGATCAGAACAAGTAAAAAAAAAAAGTATATTTATGGTGTGTTTACAATTCCTTAAATGCACATAAATATTCATAAGAAGAGAACGGGATATTAGTCAGACTTAAAAGATCCGAGTAATATGAATGCTGTTAATTAATTACTATTAATATTTACTACTAATATTAATACTACTACTAATATTTACTATTAATTTTCGTCGTACTCCATCTATGTACTCACTTTTGTCATAAATGCATAAAATCAGCAGTCTACTTGTAATATATTTTACGGTTTTAAAATTTCTCCCATTATGATACTATTACAGAGTTCGAATATGATTTCGTTTTGAAAAAATAAACTCGCTGACAGTATAGCACTCACTTCGAAGGAATTGCCCCAGGCATAGTAGAGCTCTCTCAGCTCGGTGTAGGCACCGAGAAACATGAACGTCATCGTGAAGATGAACGCGTTCCACCTTTGACGCTCCTCTTCAGGACTAGCCGCCGACCAAATTCCGGTCAGCTTTAAATAAAAGGAAGTCACGAACAGAGAGAAGTCGTTCGTCTCCTCCGCGCGCATGATGGATTTCGAATGCTCAGGTTCAAATGCACTTTGAACTTGACGCGAGAATTACACGGCGGTGCAACAAGGAAGCGCGAAGGTCAAGTGGCTTCGCGTAATTCGATGCTTTGATCTCTGCTTCTTCATCCTATAGTTAGCGATCGCGTGTGTCTTTGTGTAAACCTCCAGGCTACTTGTTGACGTCTTATAATCTTCCCATGCGGTAATGCCGCTGCAGAAAGTGCAAAATCGGTGTAATGCCCGATCGATGCATTGTGCATCATTCAGGAAGGATGAACGTTCACCGCGCGAGACCGTCGAGGAGCCTCCTTTGATTCTGAGGAGAGTTCGCTGTACTTGCAGTCGTTATCTGATTACTAAGATAATTCATTGTAATCTAGCACATCGTAGGATGATAGCGACTGGTGAGCGGGAGAGACTTTTAACGATGAGAATGAATCATTGGTCAAGACGAGTCGATCGAGTCGAAGTGCTGCGGCGTGTTCTTCTCAATCGAGTGAAAAGCAGTTTGTTCGCGGAGTTTTCACGTGGAGGGAAGTGTTTTCGTTGTTTAACCTTTTATTTCTCTGGACGGCAGAGTCTGATGTGTACTGTACAGAATCTGATACTGTATATACAGGGTGTCCCAAAAATGTCTCGAAATCCGAAAGTGACGGATTCCTCGGGCCATTTGAAGCAACTTTTTCCTTTACAAAAATGTTCTCCGAGGCACCGTTAACGAGTTATCAACGAAAAACAGTGACCAATGAGAGGCGAGCTCGGCTGGCGCGTGGCGATCGAGCCAATGAGCGGAACTGGGCTTCGCGCGCTGGTTGGCTGGGCCGCCTCGCGTCAGCCGTACTCGGTTCTTATTGGTCACTGTTTTTCGTTAATAACTCGTTAACGGTGCCTCGGAGAACATTTTTGTAAAGGAAGAAGTTGCTTCAAATGATCCGAGGAACCCGCCATTTCCGCATACTTCAATTGACCTCAGGAATTCCTTATTTCCCGGAAATACCTTACGCAGTTTGTAATTAACAAGTTATTTTTATGTATAGATTAAAATCTGACATCCTGTATAAATTCATAAGAGAAACTAATTTATTTAAATTCAAATTAAGATAACAAATTATATTTACACGTGTCTTTACATGATTGACCATCTCCATAAAATGGATCCGGTCGTACAAGATGCAACAAAAAAAATAAATAAAATACGTACAGCATTTTCTACAGAGTCGGTAATTCAGATCCTGAGACAAAAAAGTATTGCATGCAATGTTGTACGGATCCTAAGTCTGTGTCTGCTGTTGGCTGTGTCTATGGTCATTGTTGATTTTATATTTCGTTTGGATTTATATTTTATCCATGGTTCTATTTCACCTGTGTCGATAATACAGATCTTTTGTGACCATGTGAGTTAGAATTGAAGTGTAGTGTAGGGTGCGACACGTATTTTAGTGACTTCCAGTATCTTCTGCTAACTATGTAAGGTTATGTGTGGGATTATTTGCTGCTTCTGTTCAAAATTGTGTATATATATATACAGCAATGATTCCACCCGTCTTAAGATCAGCAGTTTGTTCTCTTATGAACACGAAGATTTTTTCTATTGATAGTATATCGAAAATATCGTGCCTGAACTTGGCATGTAGAAGATGTATTCATTTAACCTTAGTTGATTTAAAAAAAGTTCGAGTAGATAATGTAAAAGTTAACATAAAAAATGTAAATAAACAAATTACTTTCGAGGGAGGGATTACTGCCTCTATCATAGAATTTTCGTAAGTATGACGAATATGAGTAATTTATAAGTATGATGAATTTTCGTAAGATTGTATACAAACAATATGACATTGTAATTTCCTTACTTACATTTTCAGTGGTGATTTGAGGTTTCCTGATCATACTACACCGTACAGACTATTTGATGGGGTAATGTTCAAAGATTTACCAATCATTAACGTAAAGGCAACAGCGAATAACACAATATTGACACTTACGGATAGTCAAGGTAAATATTATTTATAAACAGTATTGTTATAGTAACATCATGTTTACAATTGAAATAGGTTTGGTGAAAGCAACACATTCTGCTGGCATCGAAGGCTTTAAAAATGCTAAAAAAGGTACTAACATCGCAGGGCAACAGGCAGCCAATACTTTTGGAGTGGTAAGATAAATTCTTACCTTTGTATAAATCATATAATTTCGACTAGTATTTCAGTAGCCTGTATTTAAATAATTTATCACATTGTTCTTTAAGCGCGCTATTAACAATGGTATAAAGACCGTTCGGTTAACGTTACAAGGTATTGGACCAGGCAGGATGGTAAATATTAAAGATTAATGGTTACTTCTCTTGTATATATAATATAGTTATTAATAATAATGTTATATCTTTTATATTTAAAATTATACCTAATAAATTTATAAATATATTTATTTTTATTTATATAGGCAGCCATGAAAGGCTTAGAGTTAGCAGGAATAAATATTGTTTCTGTCACAGATACTACTAGAGTATCATGGAATCCTCCAAGAGCGAGGAAACCAAGAAGACTATAATGAATAGGATGTATCACAAAATATCAAATAAATCAACTTGATAGAAAGATATATACAATTAATACAATTTATTTTACAAAAGTTTGCACATTC